TGTGGCACACAGATACGTGGAAGACAAAAAATGCATTACTGATAATGTAGAAGCAGATCTATAGGCACTGAAAATAATGGCATGAAAAAAACATGAATAAAAATGAAATCTATGAATAGATAACATTGGAAGAATCTTTTAAGAAAATCCAAGGCTCATCCACCAACAAGATTTTATTCTAAACTTAAGCAAATATGCAAAATGCGTACATTTCATATTTTGCATACCTTATGTAATTATCTGGAGATTTTGCATATTTAAACAAAAAATTGCATAAAATACAAAAATAATTTACATATTTCGAATTGCGGATTTTAAATAATATTTATCTAACCATGGGGTGCCATGGGTAATGGTATGACTAAATAACTGGAAATTCCAATGTTCATTTTATTTTAATATTTCAGTCTTCAATATTATCGATAGTAATTATAGTTACTACCTAATTTTCTTGGTATAGCTGCAGCAGGTAACCTATTATCATCCAGTAATAAAAGGGTATTTTAAAAGTTTATTGCATAGGTTACGAATATAATTGTCGTTTTGCAAATTATTTAGTTCTCAAAAGTAAAAGTAAAAATTTAAGCATTGTCAGCCGAGCTTGCTTAATTTGTTAACTATTTTGTTTTAAAATTTTGAAAATAACCAGTATTGCTACTTGAATTAAACTTCACAAAGATATTTTTATGAAAATGGACAAAGTTTATTGTTCAGTTTGTGGCAAAATTATTATAAGTACTAAATATTTAATGCTCTTCTATATTTTATGTTATTCAAAATATTTTATTGACTGCATAAATTAGCGTTAATAAAACGGAAATAATATATTTAAATTTTAAGATTATACTAATACCTATTTATGTATATTTTATTATAAGATAAATATCATATATTTAGTTCCATTAATGGGTATATTCACCAATTTAAAATTTAATAAACCACCTCCTCAATGCTTTAAATTTGTATACTAATCACTACATGTAATTTTATTTAATAGTACTTTATTTGCCAGGGACTGTAATACTTCCATAAGAACTCGTATATCAGGTATTTGTGTACACCGAAAAATGCTTGAAACCGTTTCTAGGATAATAAGGGGAAACTTAAATTACATGAAAGAGAACTCACCCCCATCAACCCCCTACGACCCACCTAATACAACCAAAAATGTTTAAATTACAAACCCCTACTTGTGATACATCATTAAAAAAACTATAAAAAGTGGAATAAATAAAGTAATAATTGTGAAACTTTGGCTTAAATGGAAAATTTAATGAGGTTTTTGTTGAACTATAAATTTGTTAAAAATGTCAATTAAGTAAATGTTTCAGCCTATTTTCATATTCTGCACGACCTTTGGCAAATGTTGTCGTAGTAATAGCGCGACGTGCTTGCGTAATTCTTTCTGGCTATTCCACAAGTGACACAGATTGAGTTTTATAAACAACTGACTTGAGGTAACCTTATGGAAAAAAGTCAGGTAAAGGTAAGTCTGGTGACCTTGGTGGCTACTCAATAGAACCTCTCCTTCCAATCAATTTGTTTGAATAATTAGTATCCAACCAGTGCCTAACTGGAGCTGCATAGTGAGGGGTGCATTGTCTTGTTGGAAGGGCAGCAAATCTTCGTCTAGAACTAGGTTGCCTTAATCGTCCCTTTGGTTCTCTAATACTTCATACACAATTAAAGGTTCGATGGTGTTTTCTAGCATATCGAGATTAATGTCGCCACTTAAATTGCCTAGTATGTACAAGGGGCCAACTATAGCATCGCCTAATATTCCTGCCCAAACATTCAGTTTTTCAGGATATTGAGTGTGACCTGCTCTGGATCGATGCGGGTTTGCTTCACATTAGTACCGACAGTTTTATTTATTTACATTACCATTCAGCATAAAAAAATTCTTTTAGTCATAAGTTCATAAAACTCAATTCGTCGGTCTGGAACATAATCGCCTAGTTCTTAAAGAATTTGTGTTTTGTACGGGTGAAACTTATATAATTTCAACACCGTTCTAACCGATCCGTGTAAAAGTCCTGTCATTGCAGATACTTGACGTAATCATGCAGTAGGCTCTATTGCAAAATTTCAAAGGACCTCAATTTAGAATGCGTTATTCAGTAAACTTGGAGCAACAATTTTTTTTATTTTGCACTGATCCCGTTTCTCTAAATTTTTCAACTAAATCGCGGACATACACGTGACTTACATTTTTGTTAGGATGCTGTCCATGAAATATTTGAGCTTTTCGTAAATAACACTGGTTCTGGGAGGCAAATGTGAAAAATGATCTTTACGCGTTCAGGTATACTGCAAACCATCGTGACAATTAAAGCTGAATGACAGTTCAGATCGTGCAAATGATGAAAACTAATGACATTTAAAATTCTCAAATAAACCAAAAATTATTGAATCTGACAGAACCAAAAAAACATATTTTTCAACAAGCATTTTTCGATATCAGCTTCTATACTTGTGTTGTATTATTTTTTTTCTTTATAACTAACTATAAATAACTAACAAAATACAGAAGACATTAAATGAGAAGTAAAAACTAAAAGAATATCTGAATTAATAATAATATTGAATCATCTGTTTAAATTTTTATAATATTTCTTCTTTATAAAATAATTGTATTTATAATTTCATATAAATACAATTATTTTTAAACATCTTATTAATATTTAAAATAATTAAATTTGAATTATGAATTTATTTATATTTTACTAATAATTTAACAGTTCGTAAACATTTGACAGGTTTGTCAGAAGTAAGCAACGTATGCTTTCTTAATACGTTAGCAGATTACGTTAAAAGCAAACATAATAATTTATGAAATTATTTTAATGTAATATAATTTGTATAACATATAAATAATAAGTAAATAATAAAATCATTTTATTTAATTTTAAAAATATTATTCAAATTTTAAAAATACAGATAACTATATTCGCTGTGAGCCGATGAGTAGAGGGGATTTGACAGTTTTCACCAACGCTGTTAGTGGCAGTTTTGTGGATTTAACTTGTAAACATTCAAATAATGGCGACTATGGATTTTTCAAAAAGAAAAAGATATAGCAGCTGTTGTATTGAGCAAGTGATTGTAAATTTTATTCATTTCCTGTTGCCAAGCATAAAATATGTAGTTCAAAGAGAAAAATGGATTATTGCTATCAATAAGATTTTTGGTGTAGCTGGTTAAAATGGGATATCATGCGATATTAAAACCAGTATAATGTTTATTATCCATTTTGATCAAATTAAAATAGATTGATATCTAAGCACTAAGGCCTAAGCACACAAAAAATAACAGCAAAAACAGAATGAAAATGCAAAATGAAAACAAGAATTACAACGTTACAAGCATGATACTATGACTAACAAGATAGGATCTTCCCGTAGCACAAAATCGGTCGTGTTCACGCATGCCGTCATTGGAGAGTAGAATTTGAATTCTTGTTAAAGTTAAATGGGATTTGTATGCATTCTGTGATGGAATTACTAGACGAAGATAAGTTAAGAGGTTTAATAATTACAATAATCGTACACATAAGGATATCTCCAAACTATTTATTAAAGAATATTTATTGATACACACAAAAAACTGACATTTCGAACGTGCAACTCTCCAATGACGTCACGACTTATGCGTTATCTTATCTTCTTAGTCATAGTATTATGGTTACGAGAGGTAAAGGTAACCTTTAACCATTAAATATTTTCACATAAACTTCTTCTTTTTCTCCATGGCCTCTTTGGTAAGTAGTCATCCAGTCGCAGGAACTTATATCTTAAATATTAAAATTATAATGAATAAAATAAAAAGGCGTAATTACTTTTACTATTAATTCTGTATATTTGTTCAGTAATCAGTTTACAATAATATTTTAGTTCATAATTTTGTATTATTAGATAAATATCTATTTTTCTCGTTTTGTCATATTTCACTTACACCGATTTTACAAGAAAAGTACAAGTTTCAAACCGCGAGATAGCGCTACCGGCGAAGCTCACAGCGAATAGATAGTTACTTTACCATTTTTCTTATCAACCATAATTATGCTGTTGTCTACATGATCGAGATCAAGCATGTCAATCCATCAAATTTGATAAAATCCAAATAGATCTTAATTCGAAGAAGTCCCCAGGGTTCGACTTAATCACTGCAAGAATTCTAAAAGAACTTCTCAAGAAAGGAGTGCAATATTAACACAGATTTTTAACGATATCCTAAAAACTGGTTACTATCCCCTTTTGTGGAATATCCAAACCAGGCAAACTTGTAGAAGTTAAGTCATTTAGACCTATCAGTCTACTTTCAGTGATGTCAAAGGTTTTTTGAAAAACTACTACTTGACAGATTACAGCCAATCCTCGTACAACAGCACCTAATACCCAACCACCAGTTTGGATTTAGACAACAGCATGCTAACATTGAGCAAATTCACCGAATCTGCAATTCCATAAACAGAGTCTTAGAAGAGAAGAAATACTGTTCTTCAGCCTTTTTTTGTTATCTCGCAGGCGTTTGATAAAGTTTGGCACACTGACTGGCCTGCTATACAAAATAAGACAAGTCCTGCCTCTCCACTACTTTCTAATCCTCAAGTCCTATCTTTCCGACCGGCATTTTCTTGTAAAAGTAAAGGATTAGTGCACAACTTATATTCAATTAAAGCTGAAATACCCCATGGTAGTGTCCTTGGACCTGTTCTCTACCTACTTTATACAGCAGATCTTTCTACGAGTCAAAACATTGTCACAGCCACATACGCAGACGACACAGCAATCCTTGCGGCTCACTCAAACCTGTATATCGCCTGACAACTGCTCTAGATCAACCTCGATAAAATAAAGATTTGGTTACAAACATGGCGAATTAAAGAAAACGAAAGCAAGTCAGTACATATAACGTTCACTAATCGAAAACGTACATGCCCAACCGTCTCATTAAATAACCAAATACTACAACAAAAGGATGATCTAAAATAGTTAGATATGCACCTGGACCGCAGATTAACGTGGAAGAAACACATATTCACGAAAAGACAACAGTTGGGTCTGAAACTCAGTAAAATTTACTGGTTTATAGGAAAAAGATCACAACTGAATTTGTACAATAAAATCCTCGTATCGTAACCTCGGAAAACTTTTTGGATGGTGCTAGAAAGGTCACCAATGGAGACACTGCGGACGGCAGCCAGATGGTTGATGGAGAGCAAGTCGTGGATTCGAAACTAGCTTTTGGAACCGGGAATGGATGCAACGGATGAAATAAGTAAAGATTAGACAAGATAAAGATATAGAAATAAAGAAAAAGATAGATGGGTAAAATTACCAAAGATAAGATAAGATAGAAACAGGGCGCCACTCAATTTTTTGGGGTTTAAGGAGAAAATTAAGAAACCTTAGAACAGAAAAGAGACAAGAAAAGATATTTAGGTTATGAGACCAAATCCAAGGAAAGATATCAACAGTTAATTATTAAATAAATTTGGTCAACACATTCTATAAACAAATAATAAATATATTAGGTGGATTCCGTGCACCCACGAAACTTAATCAGCCTGATCTTTCTTCTAGTCGAAGGTATAATAATAATTAAAGGTAAAAAGCAAATATTCAGAGTTATTGTTATATCAGGAAACTTGTTAGGAGTCGACAAATAAAATGCATACATAAAACAAAAACAATATATTCAACAATACAATGGTATCGGTAGCTCAATGTACACACAAGTAACAAAAACACACCATCAATTATGAAATGGTGTATTACATATAAAAATAAGCAGTAATATGAATAATATGAGTAATACCTTTACAAATACAACAATATAACAATGCACAGATTCAATTATTAGATAAGAGAGTCTAAAGCTATATAAAAATATTCTACTAACGTTGATTAAAGAAAGTCTCTCTTTGCTGTTTAATGGGCATCTTTCAAAATACTGGGTTAAAAATCTATAACAATTATAGCAAATAACAAAAATTAATCAAATCTAAATTTACAAGAATACAAAAGGTTAAAGAAATAAAAATTTAACCAACCCGCACTTGGTCCTAGTTAATTATCTATCTCGCACTGCTATTTAATGATTGAGAACTAAAATAATTAGTATTTATTGAAATTTCTTTGTAGCTGATGTAAAGTTTGTAAGAAAATATTGAATGTTCTTTAAATGGAATGCAAAAATCAGTAGTTACTCTCAACTACAGGTGAAGACATGGATGAACTTAAATTCGCCCAGATGATTGAAAATAATATGATACCATACCATATGATTTGCCTAGATAAGTGGAGATGATAAGATTATGGTAACTTACAGTAATTCCTGATAACTGTTGCATTAATTCACTGAAGTTAATTTACTTTACTATAATACTTAACGTGTATCGAGCACTGAAGTTAATTAAAATTAATATTGAAGTTAATTAAAAGGTACTCTATACCAATATTTAATCTAAACTCAAATATACAAGTGTTTCCACACTTAGAAAGAAAAATGCACGGAGAACGGTACGGTAACACAGGGACGATAATATGAGCGAAGCGTCTGTTCTCAAAGAAAGCCCCACGAGAAGTAAATCTTTACGTAACGAGTGCCCACTCAGAAGTAGTCTTTTTTCTGCAAAACTTTAGCAAACTACAAAAAAAAAGGTTAAGGTATCTCCCACCAAAAAATGATAGGACAGTTGTATGTATTTCTGAGCAATTGATCTGAGCAAATATTCTGTCCAGCAATTGGACATGAGAAAATTAAAATCCTTTGGATTAGGTATTATAGAAAGAAAACATTACAACGTGCCCGCGACGATATTTACAGAATTTATCCAAAAGAAACAGACGCTAAACCGGAAAGAGATTACCTAAGGATTAACCAAACCGGCGTCTCTAAACAAACAGGTAGATTCTTTTGCAATATTTCGGCAGTTTTCCATAAAATTCAACAACTCATTTACGAACACGACCATGAGCGTATCAGCAACGGAGGTAAAGGGAATAAAAATAATCAATATTTTAATCATATCGACTAAAATCCAATATCGACATACTGAAAATATTCCAATCGAAGACCTTTCGCATTATCACAAATGCACCGAGGTACATGCCCAATGAATCCATCAATCTCGATCTTCAGTTAAAAACTGTCAAAAAAAAATGGCCAGTTACTCCCAAAACTATGACAAACGACTGCGAAACCACCCCACAGGCTAGCGAAGAACCTTAAAAGGCCCCAGGCAAACAGAATTCCAAAGCGTCTTACTCCAACCGATCTACCAACAAGATTTTAAAAATTTTAAATTAAATTTTTTTTCAATCGTAAAATAGTTTCGAAACACAATTCAGATTTCTGCTTTTATCTGTGCTTTCTAAAAATTGCAAAGCAAAACAGACGTTGATAAAGGTGTTAAAAGAGACGTGGGGAATCTAAAATTTGCATTCCACGACACATCTTTTCAACTAAGCAGAAATCCTTAGCGAATTGGTTTCTAGTACTCGTACAGAGTAAATCCGAAAAAAAGTGAAAAAGACAGCAAATATTTGATTTCACGCAAACAGCGCCTTTGTATCTGTTGATACGTATTTCGACCTAATAGGTCTCATCAGAACAGTTATTCAAAGGTGTTCTCAACGTGAAAGATCAATATTTTCTGTCTTTTAAGAAGCAACAATAACATGGCTTCGATACGGACGCACTAGCGACATCTAATTTAACAATCGTAAAATAGTTTCGAAACACAATTCAGATTTCTGCTTTTATCTGTGCTTTCTAAAAATTGCAAAGCAAAACAGACGTTGATAAAGGTGTTAAAAGAGACGTGGGGAATCTAAAATTTGCATTCCACGACACATCTTTTCAACTAAGCAGAAATCCTTAGCGAATTGGTTTCTAGTACTCGTACAGAGTAAATCCGAAAAAAGTGAAAAAGACAGCAAATATTTGATTTCACGCAAACAGCGCCTTTGTATCTGTTGATACGTATTTCGACCTAATAGGTCTCATCAGAACAGTTATTCAAAGGTGTTCTCAACGTGAAAGATCAATATTTTCTGTCTTTTAAGAAGCAACAATAACATGGCTTCGATACGGACGCACTAGCGACATCTAATTTCCTCTCCTCAGTCGTTTCCTCATTGCTGAGTGTCGTGATTCCCTATAATACGAGCCACTATCTCTTTCCATCGGCTTCTGTCCTGAGCTTCCCTCATGGATTCTGAAAATGTTTTTCCACTGGCTTTCTGTACCTGATCCGTCCATCGAATAGGTGAGCGACCTCTACTTCTGCGCCCTTCAACGTTTCCCGAAATTATAAGTCTCTCAAGATTATCATCACTTCTTCTTGCAATATGGCCGAAAAATTTTAAGACGGTGGAGAGGCAAATAGACGAAAGTCGAGTCTGAATATTAAGCTCTTGGAGGATTGAGTGATTTGTTCTGTGTTCCGTCCATGAGATCCGAAGCATTCTTCTCCAGCACCACATTTCAAAAGCGTCAATCCTTTTTCTGTCGTCCGATTTGATTGTCCATGTTTCGGATCCGTAACTAAATATGGGAAAAATTAATGCACGTACTAATCTTATTTTGGTGTTCTTCGACAAGGCGCGATCTTTCCAGATTTTTGATAATCGACTCATAGCGTTTTTAGCCATGCCTATTCTCCTACGTATTTCTGTTTCACAAGATCCTGTATTATTGATGTAGGATCCTAGATAATTGAACTCGTTAACCACTTCAAACTGGTCCAAGGCTCCTGTTGTCTGAAGTGAATTTGAATAGTCTACTATCATAATTTTTGTTTTTTGTTTATTGATCTTGAGACCACATCTATTGCTTTCGACTTCCACTAGCTGCAGCAGGCTGGACATTTCTTCTTCGGATGCAGTTATTAATGTTGTATCATCTGCATATCTGAGATTTGAGATCTTTTTTCCTGCTATAGAAATACCGCCATTCCATTTGTCGAGTGCTTTTCTCATTATATATTCCCCATAGAAATTAAAAAGACTTGGAGATAGAATACATCCTTGTCGGACTCCTCTGCCTATTTTAAAAGGATCGGACTTATGATTTTCAATTCTTATTCTGGTTTCACTGTTCTCATATAGACTTTTTACCAGAGCTGACAGATGATCAGGAACCCCCATCTCATGTAGAACTTTCCACAAAACTGTCCAGTTTACACAGTCAAATGCCTTCTGATAATCCAGAAAGCAGATGATCATCGGAATTTTGAATTCTCGTGCTTTCTCAATGAGTTGTCGCATATTAAGAATTTGCTCCCTTGTGCCTTTACCCTTAACGAAGCCTGCCTGTTCTTGTAAATTCAATACAATACATCTAATTTAACAATCGTAAAATAGTTTCGAAACACAATTCAGATTTCTGCTTTTATCTGTGCTTTCTAAAAATTGCAAAGCAAAACAGACGTTGATAAAGGTGTTAAAAGAGACGTGGGGAATCTAAAATTTGCATTCCACGACACATCTTTTCAACTAAGCAGAAATCCTTAGCGAATTGGTTTCTAGTATTTCACTTTTTTCGGATTTACTCTGTACGAGTACTAGAAACCAATTCGCTAAGGATTTCTGCTTAGTTGAAAAGATGTGTCGTGGAATGCAAATTTTAGATTCCCCACGTCTCTTTTAACACCTTTATCAACGTCTGTTTTGCTTTGCAATTTTTAGAAAGCACAGATAAAAGCAGAAATCTGAATTGTGTTTCGAAACTATTTTACGATTGTTAAATTAGATGTCGCTAGTGCGTCCGTATCGAAGCCATGTTATTGTTGCTTCTTAAAAGACAGAAAATATTGATCTTTCACGTTGAGAACACCTTTGAATAACTGTTCTGATGAGACCTATTAGGTCGAAATACGTATCAACAGATACAAAGGCGCTGTTTGCGTGAAATCAAATATTTGCTGTCTTTTTCACTTTTTTCGGATTTACTCTGTACGAGTACTAGAAACCAATTCGCTAAGGATTTCTGCTTAGTTGAAAAGATGTGTCGTGGAATGCAAATTTTAGATTCCCCACGTCTCTTTTAACACCTTTATCAACGTCTGTTTTGCTTTGCAATTTTTAGAAAGCACAGATAAAAGCAGAAATCTGAATTGTGTTTCGAAACTATTTTACGATTGTTAAATTAGATGTCGCTAGTGCGTCCGTATCGAAGCCATGTTATTGTTGCTTCTTAAAAGACAGAAAATATTGATCTTTCACGTTGAGAACACCTTTGAATAACTGTTCTGATGAGACCTATTAGGTCGAAATACGTATCAACAGATACAAAGGCGCTGTTTGCGTGAAATCAAATATTTGCTGTCTTTTTCACTTTTTTCGGATTTACTCTGTACGAGTACTAGAAACCAATTCGCTAAGGATTTCTGCTTAGTTGAAAAGATGTGTCGTGGAATGCAAATTTTAGATTCCCCACGTCTCTTTTAACACCTTTATCAACGTCTGTTTTGCTTTGCAATTTTTAGAAAGCACAGATAAAAGCAGAAATCTGAATTGTGTTTCGAAACTATTTTACGATTGTTAAATTAGATGTCGCTAGTGCGTCCGTATCGAAGCCATGTTATTGTTGCTTCTTAAAAGACAGAAAATATTGATCTTTCACGTTGAGAACACCTTTGAATAACTGTTCTGATAAGACCTATTAGGTCGAAATACGTATCAACAGATACAAAGGCGCTGTTTGCGTGAAATCAAATATTTGCTGTCTTTTTCACCTTAAATTTTTTTTATTTATTATAAACATTATATTAGAGTCACAAATAATTTTGTTACTAAAATTACGATTTATCAGGTTATTGTCACTGGACAGTCTCATACAAGTTTCTTGTAATCTAATTAAACAATTTACTTATTGTAATCCCAATTACAGATTGTAAATAAATGTGATGTTCAAAAAAATCATATTTGAAATTCATACATACCCTAATATCAACTTGGTTATACATTTTCGCGCAATTAAAAAACTATATTTTTTGAAAACGATTTTCGAAGCAGAAATAATATTATAAAAGAAGTTTTTATTTACTATTAACTCTTTTTAAAATATTTATTTATATGTTTATTAATATTAATATACCGCATAGATAATAATTCACCTATTTTTATTTTAAATCTAATAATCAAATATCTAATTTATGTTTTTAAATGATACAATACTTTGTATAACCATATAAATCCCTTAATCCTAACAATCATTTATTTCAGTTGAAAATTATACAGCTCTTCTCCGGTGTGCTGCATTCCAGTGTTCGTCGGAGACCTCGTTGGCTGAAATAGTCTTTCTACGATATATCTCATGGTCCTCTGGAGGCCGATCACGGAGCCAAACTGGAGATTGCCGTCACCGGAAGCATCGATGGAGAAATTGGAACTGGACGTGCGGAAAAACAAAGCCCTTGATTTATTGGATAAGATGTTTTCTGTGTCATTTTCGTTGCCAGACACACTGGAAATTATGTACTAAAGAAAAAGGAACGAAGAAGCTCTTTTTTTAATTTGCCAAAGACGCAATTGCTGGAGTTTCTCAGAAACTCCGTTTTCCGGTTCATTAGGCATTTGCAATTCGGTCATTGCTCTTAATCTATCTAAATAAATAAATCTTCCAAAATATATGGCAAGATTCGATTCGAATACGTTTTTAGAGATTAGAAATCATTCCGTTTAAATAATATTTGGTACAAATTAAACGGAAAATAGATTTATAATTAAAGTTGCTTTTAGGGTATAATAAATGATTATTAGTGATATACATAGGGCTATCAGAAATTAGGAACGCTTAAGAACAGACTAAGACAAAGTCGCCAAAAAGTGATAACAGCTCGTCACAATCATTTTATTGTCTAAGTAACTAGCAGAGACCTAACAATTTCTCACCCGCAGTTCCAAATGCAACGTTTGGAAGCTACAGGTGTAGGTGTTTTAGTTGAAACGATAAGAAAAATACTTCGTGGCCAACGACTATGAACCAGAAGACTGTGACGAGTTCTCGAGCTATCTAGGAAGCATAAGATCGATTTCCTAAATTTCTTTCTTAAACAACAAAACTGGAACATGAGAAATTGGCAAAATGTGCTATTTTCAGATAAATCCAGGATTTGTA